GATGCACCGAGACATGACCCATGCTTCCTTAATTAAATCAACAGTGAAATTCCCTCAATGACTTAACCTACAATAAAACCCAGTGCATCGGGATTTGAGCTTGAATATTCCACTCAAATCCTCCTGACAATTGAGGATATTTCTTAAAGTCACATATGGATCATCGGACTAGGATAAGTCTAGGGTCTAGGTGGCGAGGGCGATGACGATATTGCTTATGTGTGCTTAAACGAGGGATACGAGGTTAGATTATTAGAATAGTGTGTCCTACCTCAAAGATCTTCAATAAGGGAGAGGGAAGGATCCATGATACTATTCGCCAATTTTTTGTGGGATCGTTGCCCTCGACACTCTAAGGTTGTCAGTAGTTCTAGCACGATTAGAGTAACTAGCCCATGGACTATACAATTTTACAAAATATTTACAAAAATAAAAATGAAAATTTCTTTTGCATGTTAAAAAGAACTCTGCATAAAAAAAAAACTTAAACAACAACTTTTGCATGAAAATTCAAAGAATTTTTCTATGAAAATTTATAAAATTCCATGATTAGTCATTTGGATTGAGGTTAAGGACTGACTTCTGTAGATTGTCGGGCTGGTAACTCTTGCTCAAGATCGGGAAGCACACAGCCCAGCTCTGAGCCCCCACTTTTACCAATGTCTTATACTCAGTCCTGATCTGTCATATGTGGTTAAGAGTTTCTTTTGCTCGTGATTTTTGCAACTCATTTTTTTGACTTTCGCGTTAGGATTTCTCGCATTGTTTACTTTTCTTGCGAGTTTATTTAATTCTGTTGTAAGTCATACAATGCTCGCAACATTAATCACGCAACAGTAGCAGATGCTCAGGTACGTTTTTACAGTTTATTCACAGTATTTTATTTTTCAAAGTACATTTTATTTACTTGCGATTTGCTTACTCTGCATGCAAAACCTGAACTGAAACCAAAATCGAAACAAAACAAAACCAAACATTGACACCAAAACTGTGAAGCACAAATCACCAATCTCAAACACTTACACCTGGAGTCATCGATACGACAGGAGCTTGGAGCCAACTTTGTGGGCAGCACAGCGAGGAATTCAGATCGAGCAGCAAGAGGATCTTCTTCAGCATTATCTCTTCTTAGTATAATAACAACTCATACGACTTCGAGGTAGCTTGCCTAGCGCGACGTAAATCCTCACACTCCACTTTTTTAGGCTCCTGTATAACCATGTTGTGCAGCGTAAGTCCTAACCCGCCTTAGGTTCCGAGGTTGTCGTGTGACACGACGTAAACCCTCTTATTTCTGCGGACTATTTGTATAATCGGGCATTATGCAAATTTAAGTCCCAAATAATAAAATTGACAGGATTGAACATTTAAATAACATCATCTCTAACTCTAAAATGTAGTCGTAAAGTAGAATAGTTTGGGAAGTCACTGAGGTTCCTCCTCAAGATCTGTAACGCCCCCTACCCTTTGCTTCCATTGAACTCCTGAAAGAACTGTTCCTACTTGAGCCACTCTCACTTGTTTTTTCACGTCCTACCGTGAAAACCTAAACCTTGAAATCTTGAAGACTAGAACCACTGATCATTATCGAGAATTTTCTCAAGTGACTCCCGTTACTTGGGATGTAATTACTATAGGGGTTTTGCCTCTATAAGGAACTTGGAACTCAGGTAAAATAAACCCTAATTAATCTTTGTATTAAATAGAGGAACTTGTCGGTCATACATAAAAGGTTCGCAGACCAAACGGATGTCACAAATCTCTTAGCTATCGCCGAGATCTACACTTATCTTTCGGGAGGGTGTAGTATTCGCGGTATCGGACACGATTATGCAAACTATTGGACAAATAAGATTCATTTGGTCTCATTTTTCAAAAATTAAAACATACTACTTTCAAAACCCAAACTATATATCTATTATATTAAATTAAATTTCAAAAATTATTTTCACATTGTCATATTTTCAAGTAATCAATCAAAAAAGTTGACCGACAATAATATTCATAAAATTGTGTATTTTACTTTTTAAAAGTTAAAATGGTGGTATTTTTATGTGATATGAAAGATTTGGGTGGCATATATATGTTAAAATGGTGGTATTTTTATGTGATATGAAAGATTTGGGTGGCATAAATATAAAAACTAAATTATAGGCGTTAGATTTGTAAATACATAAGAATTGGGTAGTATGTATGTAAACGTTTCAAAAGATTATTGGCAAATGAAATTTAAGAAAAAAAAAAACTGTTCTCTCTTCATTGCGTAGTGCACCAGCTCTCTTGCCAATCCTACAATTAATGTTGCCGGCTTCCCTATTCTAGTTTGGTGCCAAGTACCTTCCCTCCACAACTAGTTGGTGCGGGTAATCATACACCAAAGGCAAACTTCAACTTCCTTTTTCCAGAAGAAATTTTCGAAGGAATGGTACCTCATTCATTCATGTCCCAACATCCTCTTTATTTTCTTTCTTGGCTTTAACTTGAGCTCTTTTGCTCCCCTATTTTTTGATCCTGCTATTTACATGTGATCACTTGGTATCAGAGTAGTAAAACACATTCAGAAGAAGGTCACTTCTTTCTCGCGAGTTTTTTCAAAGAAAAGGTACGTTATCAGTTCCCACAACGCCTTACACCACCAAGTCATTGCCGCGTCAATTAATTCTCGAAAGCAAAAAAAAGATTTATTTAATTGCTTATTGTTCTTATTTTTCACGAGTTCCATCCTACTTTACTTCTTGGATGTAACACCCAAGTCCCCTCCAAGTGTACCTATTACAATTACCCTCTACAACTTCATCTACCTATGCCAACTTTTCTTATTATGTGCTTTGCTTTATTCCTTTTGCAACAATCAAGCACTTAAGCAGTCCCTCGCCCCCACACCCCCAAACCCTTGCGTTAGTTGCATCATATTTGATTTTAGGGTTCCAAAGTTTACACAAATGTTTGAAGAAAAAAAAACCCTACAAAATTTTTTCATGACCTTCCTACAATAAATGATGGAATTGCTACGAGGTGGTTTGTTGAGAACTGAGTTCGAGGATAACTTGGGCAAGTTATACATGAGCCAAGGGACAGAAGCATAAGAATTTTGTATTCGACTCTGCTTGTTAAATGAAATCCTAAAGCATCATTTATATAGTAATAAAAAAGAATCCAAACAATATATTTTAATATGTTTAAAAATTAATTTGAGATGGAAACATAGTGATGATCTCCATGGAGAAGAACCTGTGGTAGTGATAGCCTTGCATCAATTCACTCATGCTAAAAGAAACTCTCCTACAAAGAATTTGAAGATGCACATATCGTAGTTGATAAAGCAGAATAGAAACGAGTATGACAATTATAGAAAGAAACTACATGAAAGCAAAAGTGGATTTGGCTCTTAGCATTGCCAATCATCATGCGATTAAGCATGATAAAATAAGAAGCACATAATATTCTTCCAATGAAAACATTGCACAAAGTCAACCTGAGTAATAAGTAATGAAATGGGCAATAACACGGCAATATGTGAAACA